ATACTATGACTTTAAATAAAATACTATGACTTTAAATAAAATACTATGACTTTGTTATGACGTACTATACTGTGACCTTTCATGATTTTGTATTATATACCATACACAGAGGACAGAAAATAATTTCCAGTCACAGAAACTCTGACTCAGATGTCAGATTAGTGTGAACTACAAAACACTTTGATGCGTTTTTGAAAGATAATGAAAACATTTTCTTTGTGGAAACATCCTTTCACCATTTCTTGAACTTCCTGTTTCTGCTTCACTAAATCACTTCCTGTTAACCACTCACTTCAAACGTCTTCTGCAAGTTGATGCCTCAAAAGAGCTCAACGTGTTTTTCACACAGACTAGTTTAGATTCACACTTTTTATCCTGGTTTGGTGTTTTCTGTCCGTCTGTCAGACACACACACACACTCACACACACACTCACACACACACACACACACACTCACTTACACACACACACTCACACACAGTCACACACACACACACTCACACTAACACACACACACACACACACACACACACACACACTCACACACACTCACTCACTCACACACACACACACACTCACACACACAAAGATGAAAACATGTCCTTTAAATGTAAATCATGAAAAACATTTAAACAGATCTTGTTAATAAAATAAATATTTAAAGCTGCAGCTACGACTCGTCTGAAGCACGTTAACGTATTTTAACTCACAGACTCAGGTGTGCTGGGATATTACGTTCAACGTAACCTCACAAACACAAGTGAGAGCTGATCTAAATGAGGAAGTGATGAAACGTGGAGAAACCCGTCGTATGCTTCGCGGCTCAAGTTGTCTCAACACATAAAACCCGACTAGTGAACGAGATAGTATCCTCGTGAGGAACACGTGGTCACACAGCTGATTTAATTCAATTTATTTTGTATAAATTCAAATATTTCACTTTATTCAGGATATCACATATTCACTGAAATGAACAAATAAGAAACGGTTTCAGTTTGTTCTTTATTAAACAAATCGGAGAGTCTGAAAAGTCTCAGTTTAAAAACTTTTTTGATCAACTTTATTGATCTGGTTCGTCCGGTTCATCTTTGGTCGAGATGACCAATAACCGTTCTGATCTCCTTCCTGTTACTCAAAGTACATGTTCAGACCCACAACTGGTGGGACTCTTCCAGAAAAGACCAGTAGATTCCAGCAGAGGTCGGCCTTTCAGGTCCCCGGTGGTTTTCCTCCCTGGTGCCTCTCGGTCTCGGTCACTACATTCAGGTCTGAGGAGTTCTTGGTGGGCTGGATCTTGTTGTGGCTGCTGTGGGATCGCGGTCTCAGGTGAGCTCTGTCCCAGACCTGCACGAGTCCTTGGCTCAGCTCTTTGCGGATGTTGTCGCTGGACAGGACGTAGAGGATGGGGTTGACGGCGCTGTTGACAGTGGACAGACCGAGCGAGATGGTGTTCGGCGTGTACATGGTCCTCTCGAACAGACAGTCCTCCAGCTGGGGGAAGTGGAACATGACGGCTCGGACCAGCAGGATAAGGTGGTACGGGGCGAAGCAGACCAGGAACAGAACCACCACCGCCACCGCCAGCCAGCCAACACGCGCCTTCTGTTCTCTCCGCAGCCCGGTACTGCGCTGCACGTTAGCCAGGATGCCGTGGTTGGTCACCACCAGCACCAGCAGTGGTACCAGGAAGCCCACCACGAAGCGAGCGTAGTTGAAGCCCGTCACCGTGGCGCTGCTTTGACTCGGCTCGAAGCAGCGGCGGTCGCCCTCGGCGGCGTCGCCCTCCCTCATGGTGAAGACGGGGATGTGACCGACGGCGACCAGCAGTACGATGAAGAGGGCGATGAGGGTGGCGACGCGTTGCCGGCGGAGTCCGCGGGACTCCACGCTGTAGACCACGGCCACGTACCTGTCGCAGGAGATGCAGCACAGCAGGAAGATGCTGATGTACATGTTGTTGAAGAAGATGTAGCCTGTTAGCTTGCAGGCGGCCGAGCTCCAGGGCCACGAGTGACCTCCGCTGACGTAGTGCGTCCACAGTGGCAGAGTGCCCAGGTATGTGAGGTCGCACAGAGACAGGCTCCACAGGTACACGCCCAGCACGTTCTTCCTGCACACCTGCAGCCAGGTGAGGTAGACGGTCAGCAGGTTAGCCGGCAGTCCGACCGCCAGCACAACACTGTACAGCAGCACAAGCGGCAGCCGGCCTTCGTCGTACGGGGGCCGGCACTCGATTGAGCTTGTGTTGGTCGTCAGAGAAAACGTCTCGGTCAGCGGAGGCTCATGCATGATGTCTGCAGAAAGAAAGAGACGACCAATCAGATTCAAGATCAGCTACGGAAGACAAAGGATGTTTCCTGTTCTGTTCAGGCTGTTAGCATCTATGTTACCTCTAACTTATCGTCTTTACAGCTTTACGTTATTGTCTTTACGTTATCGTCTTCACGTTATTGTCTTCACGTTATCGTATTTACGTTATCGTATTTAAGTTATCGTCTTTACCTTATTGTATTTAAGTTATCGTCTTTACGTTATTGTATTGAAGTTATCGTCTTTACCTTATTGTATTTAAGTTATCGTCCATCCATCCATCCATTTTCCACCGCTTATCCGGGGTCGGGTCGCGGTGGCAGCAGGTCAAGCAGGCCGACCCAGACCTCCCTCTCAACGGCAACATGTTCCAGCTCATTTTGGGGGATCCCGAGGCGTTCCCAGGCTCCCAGCTGGGAGATGTAATCTCTCCAGCGTGTTCTGGGTCTTCCCCGGGGTCTCTTCCCAGTTGGACGTGCCTGTAAAACCTCCAGTGGGAGGCGTCCAGGAGGCATCCTAATTAGATGCCCGAACCACCTCAGCTGACTCCTTTCGACGCGAAGGAGTAGCGGCTCTACTCCAAGCTCCCTCCTGATGACCGAGCTCCTTACCCTATCTCTAAGGCTGAGCCCGGCCACCCTACGGAGGAAACTCATTTCGGCCGCTTGTAGCCGCGACCTTGTCCTTTCGGTCATGACCCAGAGTTCGTGACCATAGGTGAGGGTAGGAACGTAGACCGAGTGGTAAATTGAGAGCTTTGCCTTCCGGCTCAGCTCCCTCTTCACCAAGACGGTCCGGTGCAGCGCCTGCTTTACTGCTGCAGCTGCAGCTGTCTGACTTATTGCCGAGAATGCGGACACAGCTCCTACTGCAGTCGTACAGAGACCGGATCGCCCGTTGTAACAGGTCCGGCACCCCATACTCCCGCAGCACCCCCCACAAGACCCCCCGAGGGACCCGGTCGAAAGCCTTCTCCAAGTCCACAAAGCACATGTAGACTGGTTGGGCAAACTCCCAGAACCCCTCAAGTAGTCTTGCGAGGGTAAAGAGCTGGTCCACTGTTCCACGGCCGGGACGGAATCCGCATTGCTCCTCTTGTATCTGAGGTTCGACAAGCGGTCGGAGCCTCCTTTCCAGCACCCTGGCATAAGCCTTCCCCGGGAGGCTGAGTAGTGTGATACCCCGGTAATTCGAGCACACTCTCCGGTCCCCCTTTTTGAAGATGGGAACCACCACCCCGGTCTGCCATTCCATGGGCACTGATCCCGACCCCCATGCGACATTGAAGAGGCGTGTCAGCCAGGACAGCCCAACTATGTCCAGCGCCTTCAGCATCTCAGGGCGGATCTCATCCATCCCCGGCGCCTTGCCACAAAGGAGCTTTTTAACTACCTCAGCGACCTCTGCCAGGGATATGGGTGAGCCTCCCCCTAGGTCCTCAGGCGCTGCCTCCTCTGCAGTGGACATGTTGGTCGGGTTTAGGAGTTCCTCAAAGTGCTCTTTCCACCGCCCGACGATGTCCTCCGTCCGGGTTAGCAGTTCCCCCCCCCCTGCTGAGAACAGCCTGGGGTAAGCCCTGCTTTCCCTTCCTGAGCCGTCGGATGGTTTGCCAGAACCTCCTTGAGGCCAACCGAAAGTCCTTCTCCATGGCCTCCCCGAACTCCTCCCATGCCCGAGTTTTAGCATTCGCAACCACCGCAGCTGCAGCCCTTCTGGCCTGCCGGTACCTGTCAGCTGCTTCAGGAGACCCCTGGGCCAACCAGGCCTTGAAGGTCTCCTTCTTCAGCTTGACGGCTTCCCTCACCTCCGGTGTCCACCACCGGGTTCTCGGGTTGCCGAGTTATCGTCTTTACCTTATTGTATTTAAGTTATCGTCTTTACGTTATTGTCTTTATGTTATTGTCTTTACGTTATCGTCTTTACGTTATTGTATTAAGTTTTTGTCTTTACGTTATTGTATTTATGTTATCGTCCTTACGTTATTATATTTAAGTTTTTGTATTTACATTATTGTATTTATATTTTCTTCTTAATATTTTCTTTACGTTATATCTATATTATTGTCTTTCAGTTATGCTTTTTCAGTTATCGTATCTACGACACATGATTATTCCATTGAAAGACCATGAATCATATTTAATTATCATATATAATACCTTCCTGTCGCATCCGAGAAAACTAAAAAACATCGTGACATGAACCATCAGCAGAAAACACACGGAGATCGTTGTCTGCTTATCAAACACAAACTTCTGATGAGAAGATGATTCATTTCAGTTTTCTGTCTGACAGGAAGTCAAACCACAGAATCATCTTGTGTCTGAGTCACATGTTTAAACAGCAAGTCGACTTCAAACTACGTCTGTTCAGAACAATGAAACATCCGTCTGTTTGATTTGGAGATGCATTCTTTACACTTATATATACACATATACATATATATATATATACAGTGTATATATATAGCTATATATATATTTTAATATGTATAGATCATGTGTGAGGTCTGCCTCCAGAGGACCAGCTGCACTCTGATTGGCTGTTTACATTCTGACCTCATTACTCATAAATCTCAATACTTTCATTTGAACAACATAAATTAATGACAACGTCATCTGTGTGACTGAGAGCAACGTCCAATCAGCTGCTCTGAATACTGCAGGTGGGCGGGGCCTAGATTTAATTATTGGTGATTGACCTCTTTAACTGAAACATTAAGTAATTATTATTATGATGAGACTCATTCACTCATGTATATATATATATATATATATATAAATATTCTACTAAATAAATATGATTATATCGGATTAGTGTATAATACTGTGATGAATAGTATTAAATCAAAAGTACCATATATACTATACATCACAGTATTAATATATCACAGTACTATACTATACATCACAGTATAAATATATCACAGTACTATACTATATATCACAGTGTAAATATATCAAAGTACTATAATATATATCACAGTATAAATATATCAAAGTACTATAATATATAAAGTAATCTAATCTGAACATAAATATTATATAATATTTTTAAAGTAAACAGAGCACTATGTATTATCATAGTAGTAGTATTTCTATTATATATTAGTATACAGGTGATGAATAATATTATCAAAACCTTTTAGGAGTTTTATTGTTGTACTGACGAGAAGATTGTATACTTGTGTACAAGTACTTTATGTATTTATTTTATTCCACTTTGAGTCTTAAAACTTCACTTTATTATTATTATTATTATTATTATTATCATTATGATTGTATTATTGTTATTATTATTGTATTATTATTATTATCATTGTTATTATTATTGTTATTATTGTATAAAGGTGATTTACATCAAAAGTTGTTGTTTTTAAGTCTCAATAAAGAACCAGTGAAGGATTTATTAACTATTGATTAGTTATCACATATAAATTATAAATATATTGATGAGTATTATGAAGTTAAAAACAGTTTTATGACAGAAATACTACATGTGTATTTTAGTGCTAGAACAATGTACAGTAATACTGTGATGTACTATGACCGTGTATAAGTACATGGATGTATACCGTTAAAAGATAAGACTCACCACCGTCTCGTGCGTCCTCTTCGTGTGTCCTCCTCCTCGTGTCTCCTCCTCCTGTCTCCTTGTGCGTCCTCCGCGTGTCTCCTCCGCGTGTCTCCTCCTCGTGCTCTCTGACTGAAGCACAAAGACTGAGGAGCAGCATCATTTATTCATCCGCCATGTTTAATTAATCACGTCATCCAACACGTCATCATTCATTATTCATTGTTTCTTCTTCACGAGACAGAACAGGAAGCGGCTTTTACTCTGAAAACCCGATCATCAAAGAGCAAAGAGATGAACAACATGAAGAAGAAGTTAGAGAGACACAGACACCTGGTGGAGACGAGATGCTACTACAGGACGACTTATTCTTATCCTTCTCCTTGCTTCCTCTCCTCTTATCCTTCTCCTCTCCTCTCCTCCTTGCTTCCTCTCCTCTTATCCTTCTCCTCT